GAAGATTTTTCATGATGAGTTTTTTTTTTTATAAGAAAAACTTTTTAAACTTTTAAAGTTATAGAGTCTTTGTTTAAATGAGCTATTTTTCAAAAAATACTCATGATTTATAAGACCTCTAGACATAATCACTAAAGTTATTCGAATAGGAATATTTAAAACTTGAATCTTTAAAATTTAGGATGTGAAGCTAAAAAGATTTTAAAAAAGAACTTTTGAAATTTTGGAAAGGAAACCATAAAGTTTTTAATGAGAATCATTGAAAGTTTAGATTTGAAACCCTAATTCAAATGAGAATCATTGAAATTTCATATGTGAACTACTAAAATTTTTTGAATAAAAATCTTTAATTTTTGGGTGTGAATCTCGAAAATTTTCAAGTGAGAATTTTTGAATTATAGAGGTGAGCCTTGAAATTTTTAATGTAAATCCATAAAATTTTCAAATACGAAACTTTGAATTTTGGATGTGAATCACTAATAAAAATCTTTTGAATGTGAATTTTTGAATTTAGAAATTTTGGTAATGATGAAGTTTAAATTCTTATGAATCTAAAGTTCTTGCGAATCTTTAAATTCTTGCAAAATTAAAACTTTTACAAACCTAAAATTATTGCAAATCTGAGGTTCTTGCAAAACTAAAACTTTTGCGAACCTGAAGTTCTTACGAATCTAAAGTTCTTACGAATTGAAAATTCTTGGAAACTTAAAATTTTTGTAAACTTAAAATTCTTGCGAATCTTTAAATTTTTGTGAATATGAAATTCTTACAAATTTTAAAATTTTTGCTAATCTAAAAACCTTGTGAATCTTTCATTCTTACGAATATGAGTTCTTGCAAACTTAAAAACCTTATGAATCTTCCATTCTTACAAATTTGAAAATTTTTGTAAACTTGAAATTCTTGCGAATCTTCCATTCTTGCAAATATGAAAATTCTTACAAATCTGAAATTCTTTGCAAAACTAAAACCTTTGCAAATTTGAAACTTTTGCAAAACTTGAAATTTTTGCGAATTTTAAAATTTTTACAAAACTAAAACCTTTGCGAATCTTGAATTTTTACAAAATTTGAAATCTTTGTGAATTTTTTTTTTTGTGAAACTTGGAGTCTTGGAATCTTTCAATTTCTATTACGGATTGCGAATCTTTAAAGTTTTGAAACGAATCTTTGAATTTTCAAATTATGAATCTTTGGATTTCAAGCTAAAAATTTTGATTTTTTTGAACTTGAGTAAAATTGATGTCTTTTGGCATTTCTTGATTAAAGTTTTTAAAGTTGTTTAGCCTCTATGTAGGGGAGCCTATTTCCATTTAAGGTTGTTTAGCCTCTATATAGAGAAGCTTATTTCATATTTTAAAATTGTTTAACCTTTGTGTAGAAGAGCCTATTTCTTAATTTAAAGTTGTTTGCCTGTGTATAAAGGAGTTTATTTTGTTGAATCTTTGTTTACATAAGTTATTGGAGTTTTTAAGCTTTATGCCTCTGTGTCGAGGATTTTTTTAATTTTTTTTTAAAAATTGCATGCCTCTATTTAAAGGATTCTTTTAAAATTGCTTAAGTTGAATTAGACTCAATGGTTGTTTATGTTTTTGTATTATTTCTGTTTCATAAGAATATGCAAATAGGGGTAACAATAGACACTCTATTTTGTTTGGGGCATGCATCCAAATTCTCGATTTTAATTTTGTCGAGATTATTAGGTTTTGGAAACGTTTATTGGGTCTTTTAGGCTTTGAATGGACTTATTTAAGTCAGTATTTGTGATTTGAGCCCAAAGTACAATTTTATTTTGGTTTGTGTTTAGCGCCCAGTAGATAGCCTTATTTTGTTTAGGCTTTGAGCCCAATATATGTTTACTTTGATGTGAGATTTGGCCTAACAGGCATTTATTTTTGTTTTTATTTTATTTGTTTGTTTATTTTTTAATCAAAACTAAACTAAAAAAATAAATTAAAAGGAAAGAAAAATAAAAAAATTTTCTAGAGATTTCAATCTAAAAATCAAGGTTGATTAAAATTGGAAACTAAATCAAATGAGATTAGGGCAAGTATTAAAGCAAATCAAGCCATAATCGAATCTAGTAGATAATCAATGACAAATCCCTAAAATTTTTGTAAAAAAATTCCTATAAATCATGCTTAAACCTATAAATACAAACAGAGATTATACTGAAACTATATAGAGAAAAGAGAAAATTTTCTAGGTTCAGGGATTTTAGGTTTGATTTGGTTTTTTGGGATTTATGGAATTGGGGCTTGATATTTTGTTTGGGTGAGTTTCTGTTGGGCTTTAATTTCTAGATATTTCTAGTTTTGGATTCAAGTTTCTGAAAAAGTTATTCTGAAATTCTAAAAAATTATTTGAATTTTTTGGCAAAGAGTTGAAGTTTTTGACTATTGGCGTTAAGAATCCCACTAGTTTTTGGAAATTTTTTTACTAGCTTTTGGGCATTGTTTGAAGTTGTAGAAAGAGAACAAAGAAAATTAAAGTTAGAGAAAGAATAAAAATATGAAATCTAGGGGAAGAAAGAAGAAATTTGACTTTTAAAGGTTATCAAAATGCACCATTTCACTTAACTAGGATCTGTGTACTTTTAAAAGGGTGACCTATACCCACATGACCTGATTTTTGACCTGTGACTCTTTTTTGCTTGAGCCAAGTCGCACTGGTCCCTGTGCCTGCAGTTGCATTCTTCAACCACTAAACCTAGCTGACTCTAAGTATTTTTTATATGCTTATCATATTTATTTGTTTTATTTATCTATTTATTTATTTATTCATTTACTTATTTTTTTTAAAAATACTTTTATAAAATCATTGTTAAATAAAAAAAAGCCTTACTGGAGGGTTATCATTTTATTTTTTTTAAAAAATAAAGTTTCACCAACATAATGGAAAACCTTATAAATTTTAAATTTTTTTCATAATAATAATAATAATAATAATAATAATAATAATAATAATTTTTGTGAGAAAAAGTTTTACCAATAGATTGGATGGTCAATGTTTTATTTTCAAAATAAGGTTTTATAAGCATATTAAAAAATCTTATAATTTTTTTTAAAAAAGATCAAGTTCAAAAAAAAAATAAAAAAATAAAAAAAATCTTTTTTCATAAAATCTTACTAATAAATTAGAGAATAATCATTGACAAAGAATTTTACTAACATATTAGAGGATATTTCTGACTATAAACTCGGCTTATAAAAATTTACATCTGTAAGTAAAATTAAATGAATCGATGACGGAACCTCTTTAAAGCGTGACAAATACTCTCATTAAATACTCTTAAGTTAAACAATATTCTTAAATTGTTACGAACATATTGGAATAGTTTAAAGAAAATTTTAATATTAAATTTATTTGATAACTTATAAATATATTTTAAGGCTTGGATAACTTAAAATCAAAATAGTACTATCTTTTAAATAAGTGTTGTGAGGGTGCTATAACCTTCCTCATGCTAATCATATGCTCGAATCTGAACTTTAGTTTCGTAGATCAGAATCTACTATTTAAAAATACATAAATTGATTTTGAAACTTCTGTTTAAATGGGATAGATTCAGTCATGTAGTCAATCACACCTAAATAAAAAAAAAATTGGTAGTGACTCTTAAAATCTATGTCTAGCTGTAAGTCTATGAATCTATATATTATGATGCAAATTATATATTTTTATCAATTTTATATACATTTTAAATTTTTATTAAATAAAAATAATTATTTTATATTTAAATCTATTTACATATATGAAAAATCATGTTAAAATAATATATAAAAACTTGAAAAATTAAATTTTAAAAAATTGATGAACGAAATTGAATCATAAAATTTTGTTTGGATCGGATCAAATCATATGAAAGTTTAGTTTAAATTTGAATCACATTTTAAAAATTCATAATTTTATACGTTATCTAAAAAATTTGAATTAAATTTAATCCAATGTAAACCGTTATCATCTCTAATGGAAAGTATTTTACTTTTAATTTTATATTTAAATTTATCCTAAATTAAAATTTAATTATTAAAATTAAAAATTTAATATTGTATCAATAAATTATATACAGTATTTTATTTTTATACATTAATAATGAGGGTTTTAAATATCAATTTATAGAATTATTAAGTTGTATTAATTTTATTATTTTTAATTTTGTGTAAAGGAAAACTTTTTAATTATAATCTCATTGTTTAATTTTCAAATTTTGGGTACACTAAGCTTAGTAAAAACAAAAATATTTAAGTGGAACAATAATCGTACAATTCTTTTCTAGCAAGTTAAAAAGATGAAAGGAGTGGAGCGGTGTTCTCTTATAAATGGGGTTGATTAAATTTATTATTTTATTGTGAATTAATTGTTAAATTTATCATTATATTTTAATTTTATTAAAATTATCATTATATTTTAAAATTTATTAATTTTAAACAAAAATAATGAAATTAATAAAAAATTTTCATTTGTATTAACAAATATTTCGTAAATATTTCATTTTAATTACATTTTGTGTAAAAATTTACACTTAATCTATGAAATATTATTTATTTTAATTTTAAAATTTTAAAATTTTTATCAATTTTATAATTTTATATTTAAATTTTAATATATATCATAATAAAATTTTAAAATATTTTAATATAAAATTTGAATATTATTTTTTTATAAAAAACCAAAGAAATTAAACATATAATTTACTATTTTTTAGTTTTACGTATTAAAAAAAAATTTTCCCCATAAGGTTACATCTCTAAAATTTTAATAATTACAAAATAGAAAAGACATATTTTATTCGTTGCCGATATTGTAGGACCATGGCTTCAATGTTGAGCTTTGAGATCAACGTTGTAGTTGTAATAAATACAATAAGCTATTTAATGCTATGGTTGCTTCAACAACAATAATAAAATTTTTTGTCAAAAAATTAATTATTTGTCATTTTTATTTTCCACTAAATACAAAATTCTAAACTATTTTTTAATTTTCCTTTCTATGATTCAAGGGAAAATCAGTACAAAACAAAAAAGAAAACATTAAAAAAATTCTAGTAAAAAAATAGTGGTTCTTCCTTGCAAGAAAAAGCAAGAAAACCAGCGTGTTTTATGCAAATCAGTTCACGAAATACATAGCTAAGTTCCCTAGACTCTAAAAGCATCGGAATTTCCTTTCAAGTGCCTATATAGTATCGTCTTTTATAGTCTATAAATAGTAATTAAAAAGGCGGCCGACAATCAGAATCTGATCTTATTTCCAAAAAAGTCTTCTTTATTTCCCTTATCTCTAGCGTACTATTATTACATATTCATACAATCTTCACCGGCTTTATCCAAGATCTTCGTTCATATCGGTATCATTGTCTCTTCAGAGATCCCATCCTTTCCCCGTAATTTCGCTTTGCTGTTTTATTTAGCAACTGCTTCATTATATTACTTCTCGGGAATATATCTGCTTCTTTTGGGTTTTCTTTGGTTACTGAGTGAAAACTTTAGATTGCCAAAGGAAAACCCTTTGTTTCTAACTGGTTTGTTATGGTTGTGAATGTGAGATTAAAGTCGTCTTAGAGGCTTTTTGGGTTTTTGGGTTTTGTTTAGATTCCTGTGGGAAAAGGTAAACCGAGCTGATTCTTTGATTCTTCTGTTGGTGATGAGATTTAGAAATCTGGGTGTTCTTTGATTTGTTTTCTTAGATATTAAGAGAAATGGGTTCTTGTTCCTAATTAGAGTTGTGGGGGTTTTCTTTGACTTGTTTTATATTTGATCTTAAGTGATACCGAATTCAAGTTTGTGAACAAATCCATTAAGCTCACTTTCTCTTTTTTTTTGTTCTTTGGTGCAAAACAAAGCCAATACTGTCTATATTCCTCTTTCTTGTCTTATTTCTTCATTCCATTCTCGAAAATTTGTTGTCCGCTGACCACCTAAATCAACATTCTCTGTTTCCTTATTTGTTGTTCGCTCTGTTGCCTAAATTATCCCAACATAAAACTTCTCATCGTAAACTAGCAATGGATATAAGTAACGAGGCCAATGTTGATTCATTTTCAATTGGTCCTTCAACAATCATTGGACGAACAATTGCTTTTAGGATCCTGTTCTGTAAGTCAATAAAACGTTTCAGGCATCAAATCTTTCACGTATTGTTGCATTTCATCTATAGATGTAAGGACTTCTTTGCACCCTTGATATCATGGTTGCATCCCCGAAATCCACAAGGGATATTGGCATTGGTGACAGTTATTGCTCTTTTGTTGAAACGTTACACAAATGTAAAATTGAGGGCTGAAATGGTTTACAGAAGGAAATTTTGGAGAAATATGATGAGTGCTGCATTGACATATGAAGAGTGGGCTCATGCTGCTAAGATGCTTGATAAAGAGACCCCAAAGATGAGTGAATCGGATTTTTATGATGAGGAACTTGTGAGAAACAAGCTTCAGGAACTCCGACACCGTCGCCAAGATGGATCTCTTAGAGATATAATCTTTTGCATGAGAGCTGATCTTATCAGAAATCTTGGTAATATGTGTAATCCTGAGCTTCATAAAGGTAGGCTTCACGTGCCTAAACTCATCCAGGAATACATTGATGAGGTCTCGACTCAGTTGAGAATGGTTTGTGACTTGGATTCGGAGGAGCTCTCATTGGACGAGAAGCTTGCTTTTATGCATGAAACAAGGCATGCATTTGGTAGAACTGCTTTGCTTTTAAGTGGGGGTGCTTCCCTTGGAGCATTTCATATTGGTGTAGTTAAAACACTAGTAGAACATAGGCTTTTACCCAGGATAATTGCTGGTTCTAGCGTTGGATCCATTATGTGTGCTATTGTTGCCACTAGATCATGGCCTGAGCTGCAAAGTTTCTTTGAGGACACTTGGCGCTCAATGAAGTTTTACGATCAGCTGGGTGGAATTTTTACAATTGTTGGGAGGGTCATGAGACAAGGGGCTGTTCATGATATCAGGTACTTGCAATGGATGCTAAGACACCTCACAAGCAATCTTACATTTCAAGAAGCTTATGATATGACTGGTAGAATTCTTGGGATAACAGTTTGCTCTCCAAGGAAGCATGAGCCACCTAGGTGCCTTAATTACTTGACTTCACCTCATGTTGTCATATGGAGTGCAGTAAGTGCTTCTTGTGCCTTTCCTGGCCTTTTTGAAGCCCAGGAGCTAATGGCAAAAGATAGGAGTGGAGAAATTGTACCTTACCATCCACCCTTTAATTTGGATCCTGCGGAAGGTTCTGGTACATCTGCACGTGGATGGATTGATGGCGGCTTAGAGGTTGATTTACCCATGATGCAACTGAAGGAGCTGTTCAATGTCAATCATTTCATTGTGAGTCAGGCGAACCCTCACATTGTACCATGGTTGAGGTTGAAGGAGTTTCTGAGATCCTTTGGTGGTAACTTTGCTGCGAAGGTATGTTAATATTGGCTAACACTTAAGAAAGAAGGAATCCTTTTATTTTGGTTTATGTTTGTTCTTTTTTTTTTTTGTGCTATTTATTTATTCTCTACCTGTTTTTTTTTTTTTTAAATAATTTTATCAGCCATAGTTGACTGCATTACATGTCAGTGTTGAGTCATGAATGAAAATCTCTAGACCCTTAACCGCAGCTGACCTTCTAGCTTCTCTCTTATGCATAGACCTGCGTAGTGAGTGTGTTTTTGGGTCATTTGTAGAGGGATATCCCTTGTTTTGCATGCAGTAGCAGGGCAAGTATCATCTTGAATTTGAGTTGTAGTTAATGAACTCTAACTTGTTAAGAATTTGAGTAAAATGCATCCATAACCTGACGTGAAGAATTCTTGTGCGCTTTTGTATGTGTTTTATTGAATAATATGGTTTACAAGGTAGCATAGTTTTCATATAAAACTGTTTTTTGTAAACAAGTTTTGGTGTTTGGTTGTGACAACTATTTGACTTCTCCTTGGTCACCAAGGATAGATCTTTTTTCTTTTGGAAGACTTTATGAAGTAATGGGTAGTGTAGGAAATCAAATCTAGAGTAGAATAATGAAATATATGATTTATCATTTTCAGCCTCAATCATCTTTATAAGATTTTAGTTTAGACTCCATTTGGCTATGCTTTCTAGTCACTCTTTTTGTAAAAGGGAAAATGTAAAAAGCAAATGGTAAATGTATTACCCATATGGAGCCTTAATGAAACTAAAATACTTAAAATTAATTGTGGAATTAGAAGTGTTTTATTGGGAAATGAGAAACTATAAACTTCTTCAAGGTAAAGGTGTTCACTATCAAGAGCTATAAAAAATCCTCAGCTTGGGTAAGGCCTAGTTTGGAGCTGTTGTTACAGTCGAAAAACATTAAAAAGTTGAAACAAACTTGTTATTGCAATTTGAGTGTTTGGCATTGTTATGAGATGAATCGTCCAAAGGGGACAAGGTGCTGAATGACCTCGTTTTTATTTAAAATTATATTATCAATGTTGTCTCTGTATAATGTTTCCTTTTAAATTTATTCTTAGTTTTCAAGAAAACAATTATATAAAGAAGTAAATGAATAACTGGTTTTGCAATTAAAATATAATTTACTTTTTATATATCACTATTATCTGTTTAGACAAAAAAAAAAAAAGTAATCCACAATTTACCACAATTTAAAAATGCTTTAAAGAATTTGAACTGCTGTTGTCCATGGGTTAGTGAATGGTGTTTTTAGTTGGGATTTTAAACTTGTTTAGCCTTGTATTTAAGGTCCAAACAGGCATTTTGGTTCCTAAATACAATGGCCAAACAGGCCAATGCAAATGGATTATCACACATTTACACACATGCAAAGTAACACAGCCACAGACATGCACCCAGATATGGATCTGATGATTTACAGAGTAACTAATCTTATAATTTACAGAGTGATGTCAGTCAAGTTGTTTAAACAAATGCTGTTTTAATATGGTGCAGTGGTGGTGTGGAGTAATTCTTAGGAATTCATTTTATTTGTAATGCATTTTTGTGAGAACAAAATGCTCCGAATGTACAGTATTACATAGCTTTTCCTAGGTAGCTTTTCCTAGGTTTTCTGTCATGGTGTAATAAATAGAGCTGAAACAAAGGAGCTTTTAAATAGAATGCTTCTGGGTTATTTCTAGACAAAGGATTTAAAATGTTATATGTATTACAGTCTTGTTAGTTGTTGTTATGCTATCCTTTTCTGTTTTCTTGTCTTATTATTGGCGCAGTGAAATGAAATAAACTAATTTTGTTGTTTTAAATTGTAGCTTGCTGACCTAATTGAGATGGAGGTAAAACATAGATTTAGTCAGATACTGGAACTGGGCTTTCCTCTGGGGGGAGTTTCCAAGGTTATGACTCAAGATTGGGAGGGTGATGTTACTGTTTTTATGCCAGCCACACTTACTCAGGTATGTGCAAAATCCTTTTGAGGCTTACCTTTGGTGACATTCAAATTAAAAATTGTCTGAAGATGCACTGAGATTTAGTGGCATTTAAACCTAGATTGGTAATTATTTTGATAAATGAGTAGATTAGCTTCAGGTTTTATATTAACTGAGTCTGAGTCTATCTATGCTGTTTTTCGTATGCATATTATTCAATAATCTTTTCTATGGTGATTGACTGGCTGTTTTTCATGGTTTTAACTATAACAGTACTTGAAAATTCTTGAAAACCCATCTCTTTTGGGGCTTCAAAAGGCATCCAACCAAGGGAGAAGATGCACTTGGGAGAAGCTTTCAGCTATCAAAGCAAACTGTGGCATTGAGCTTGCCCTTGATGAGTGTGTTGTAAATCTTAATCACTTGCGAAGACTTAAACGGAGTGCTGACAGAGCCGCTGCTGCTTCTGCTTCTGCTTCATCTCATGGCCTAGCCAGCACAGCTAGATTCAATGCTTCACGAAGAATTCCTTCTTGGAATTGCTTTGCACGAGAAAACTCAACAGGCTCCCTGGAAGATCTTACAGATGTTACTTCATCTTTGCATCAAGGATTAGGTGGGTCCACAGGAATACCAGCTTCTGCTAGGAACTTGCGAGCCCATCACAGTACACATGATGGAAGTGATAGTGAGTCTGAAAGTGTAGACTTACATTCTTGGACAAGATCTGGTGGGCCATTGATGAGGACTACTTCTGCAGATTTGTTCATCGATTTTGTCCAAAATCTAGATGTTGATGCTGAAGTGAACAAAGATCTGATGGCTGGTCCTAATTCTTCTGGATTTCAGATGGGAGATGGGGATCCTTTTAGTCACAGCTCTAGGATGACAACAGCAGATAGAGGTTCAGACTCTGAGTTTGATCAGAGGGATTTGGAGAACAGAACACCTGTTAATTGTTCTAGCATTATGGTTGCTGAAGGTGATCTCCTGCACATTGAAAGGATGCCTAATGGGCTTGTGCTCGACGTTGTGAAGAAAGTAGACTTGGCACTGTCACACAGAAGCCATGGTTCAGGAAATTACAGCCCTGACATAGCTGAATGTATGCAGCTTGATTGTCCAGAGAAGGAAATGGATGCTAGCTCGGCATCTGAATATGGCGATGATGATGATGCCAGTGCAGTAAACTGCCTGAATGAAACGGTTCCTATAGTTAATGCCCCTGACGACTCTCCTGTCCATGATGATGATAATCAGGGTGCTGTAGATGGTCAATTTTAAGATTAATATTGATTCTGTGATTGATCTCTACTTACCAAGTTTGCAGAGTTCTTTTTGAGGTAACAAGTTGGCCGAGTTGATTAAGCTAATGTGGGCAGGGTATGGAATCCCGAATTCTGATTGGTTTCTGATTCAATCAGTTGAACTGTCTGGTGTTGTTGTATCTGGAAAATGGCTTAGCCAGTTCTTTTCTAATGCTTATACAATTACTATATAAATAAATTCATAATAATTTATATTGACTAATGTCAATAATTTTATAACAAATATTAACATCATTTTTCATAAAAAATATATTTACTTCACTTTTACTCAAGATTGCTACTAATTCATATTCATTAATTTTTTTGTGCATGGATATTATATGCATGTTATTTTTATCCACCATTGTAAAATTTTTAAACTTCATAAGCAATATTGAAATATTACCATATGTTTCATTTTTTATTATATAAATTTACTAAAATTTTAAATATATTTTAATGAGTTATATGATAATTTTCTAATCTCATTGGTAGAATTCTAAACTTTCTGGATAATGAATTAGATAATTCTTTGTAAAACCAGCTAAAGAGTGTGAATGATATTGTCGTTAGTTGGTAAATCAATAATGTTATTGGGCCATATCAAATAATAGTAGGGTATTTGAGCTATCCTTCAGCCCATATAGTTTGGAATTAAAAAGTTGGCAACATATTTATTACAAGTTTTATTATACTATCATAATTCAAAATCATAGGAGATTTATAAAAATTTTATATGAAAGTTACATTTATAAATAAAAAACTAATACATAATTTTTTTTTGTTAAAATTAAATAATTATACATTTAAAAAAATTAATAATTATAAAATTATAATAAAATAATTGTAAGGGAATGTTTTCCAAAAAATTCCTTTCGAATTTCACCCCAATAAAAGGGTTGTCCGAAAACGACCCTTTCAAAAAACTTTTGGTACCGGGTGTGAAAGGTTGAAAAGTCTCACGCTTAATCAGTTATTTAAAAAATAATAATTTTTTTGAAGAAAAAATAATTAAATTTTCTACGCACAAGTGCTTAATGTCATACACGTAGTTTGAAAATAATAACAATTTTCTATTCAACTATCATAAATAAGTTGGACTAGCCAGAGTCCAAAGAAAGAAAAAAAACAGAGAAAACCCGTGAGACCCGGTGGCCATTCTATTGGAAGCGTGAATTGCAATATGGATTAGCTTTTGCGTAAGTTCAGGTTTCGATTTCGATTGTACTACGTTCCATAATTTAAATTACGAAGAGTGATATAATACGAATATAATATAAATAAAAAATAAAAAATAATATAATTTAAAATTTTAAAAGAATTATAAAATTTAATAAAATAAAAAATTATATTTTATGTTTTTATATTAATATAAATTATAATATATAATTTTTATTTAAAATATAATATGAATATAATATTTTATATGATATAATTATATGAATTAGTAAATCTAGATTGTGCTCATTTTTCACTTTTCGTCACCATTGTTAAGCTAGCAGACTGAATTAATAAAGTTAAACAAACTCTTAAATTTTATAAAAATTTTATATTTTTATTACATTAAATAAAATTTTAATTTAGATCCAACAAGTTTTTAATTTTTAATTTGTTTTCAAATAAATATTTATTTTTTTAATATGTATCTAAATAAATTATTAATATAAGTTAATATTTTATTTAAAATAAAAATTTATTTGAATACAAATAAAAATTAAAAATTTATTTAAGTACTATAAAAATTAAAAGACTTACTTAAGAAAAGTAGAATAATTTAGGAAATTTTTTAGATTTAGTTTAGCAATACGGTTAAAAGTAATTTTTACGTTCAAAAGTCAAGACAATTTAAATATCAATGCTAAACACAAAAAAAAAAAAAAAAGATTCCAGTTTAAAAATATGGTTTGCAGACTCAAACCATAAAACTACTCAAGAAGTATTTCTGCAGAAAAAAAATGCGTTTGTAATAAAATTTACTATATTATCTACATATTTTTCTAATATTTATTATTTTAAACATTTTTTCACATCAATACCAAACACCTAAAATTTTAATGACAATTTTTTTATCATACTTTTCAATTGCACTTTTCTCGACCCAAAATTTTTTCTATGGCAATGTAATATTAAACTAGCCCTTAATGCTTTAGCCAATTAAACACCACACATACTATCAAAACGATTTTTCCGGGGATTGACTGCTAGAAGATTTAAAAAAAAAATCATCACTAGTACTTTTTAATTAAGTGCAATTCGTCATATAAAAAAATTTATTTTTTTAATAAAATCATACAATTAATTAAAATTTATTAAAAATATAATTATTGGATTCTACAAAAATAAAATTGATTTCAAGAAAAATTATACACGAGGAATGATTAATATTGTCACAATGCTTATTAGAAAATGATATAATTAAATATGTATTATTTTTTAATATTAATAGAAATAGTCATAATTTTGATATTTAAAAAAATTTTCTTTAATTTTATCTTTGAATTTTTTTTTTCATTTTGAAAAATAAACAAGAATTTTGTGTATTGAAAATATACCCAAAATATTCCAATATTTTAGCAATGTTAGAAAATGTTCTCATTTAAAATTTTTTTAAGAATTATTACTCTAACTTTTTGTAGTCTCATTGAAGGCTTATATTTATTTTTATATTTTATTTATGCATATGAGATGAAAATAATAAAATTTATGCATTAATATATGCAATTTTGTTCCTTTTGAAAAAATCGTTTACTTTTTTCTTTTTTATATATATAAATAATAAGTCAATGAAAATTTTTGTATTGAATATATTTTTTAAATATCTTAATATTTTGATGATATTTTAAAAATATATTTTTATTTAAAATTTTTTTAAAATTATTACTCGAATTTTCTTATAATTTTACCGTAAAAATCTTCATTTATTGATAAATTTAATCTGCCATTTAACTACTTTAACTTATTATCTTAACAATGCGCACACGGGTCTAGAGCCGGCGTGCGAGTCCTGACTAGGGGTGTAAATGATACATTAATACTCGCAAGCTACTCGGGTTTGATTCGAAAAAAACTCGAATTCGGTTCGATTATTGTCGAGTCGAGCTCGAGCTCGAGTAGCTCGACTTACCGATCGAGCGAATTCGAGTTTCTTATATCTGACTCGAGTAGCTCGCGAGCCTAATCGAGCTTTTATATTTAAAATATTTTTTTTTTTTTTAATTAATAAAATATTTCGAATTCGAGTTCGAGTTCGAGCATGAATAATCGAACTCTTGTCGAGTATACGAATCGAGCTTATTTTTACATATTAATCGAGTTTAATCGAGCGAGTTCGAGTAGCTCGAATTCGATCACGAATCGAGCTCGAGCTTGAAAAATAAAACTCGATCGAACTCGAACCGAGTATCGAGCCCGGAGTTGTGAGTCGAGCTCGAGCTCGAGCTTCTCACTACTCGGCTCGACTCGGCTCGTTTACAGCCCTAGTCCTGACCCTCTTTAACATTGCGTTTTGCCCTTTAGTAATAAAATGCCTTCCTTTGCAGTTCATTTCTCTTTTATTTTATTTTTTCTCTTTAAAACCAAATATTAATTGAAAACCAAAACCAGCCCAGATTTTGGTCGACTATTATTGCATTAGTTATCATCACATCACTAAAGACCGTCGCTTACCAACATAGGTTTGCTTTCGAAATTCACTAAAATGTTTCCTTTGATCTCATCTTTCCCTTTCTCAAGCTAGATTTTCCTAAAAATTCACCCAAACCCTTAGATCTAGCTTTGAATGTCGCAGTTTTAATCTCCAAAAACTTCTCTTCTATCTTTTGTAACATTGATGTGCATCTCCCCCTTCCATGGCCTTTTTCCTTGCCAAAAATCAAGCCTCAAAGCTAGTCTAACCTGACACACTCTAAAACCTTCTTTTCATTATTATTATTATTTTTTGTGATTCCCTGTCCGGGATGTGATTGATAGATTAGGATTTTGTTTTTGTTTTTAATTTTTTAAAGACTATTTTGGTGGATTTTGAGTATGATTTTTTTTTTCTTTTGTATTTGGGATTGTAATGTTTTTGATATGTCACTTTTGTTTTTATTATAATATTTAAATGTTTATATTTATGTATTTCATGTTTTTATATTTTTTTTATTTATAAAAATAATCATCAATAAATTTTATGATTTATTAAATAAAAAAAATTGAAGATAATTTATTCACTGGTAAATGATGTTTTATATTTTTAATTTAATTTTAAAATTTAAAATCATATACTTAAACATTTTTAAAAAATTAATAAAAATATAATAATCATTTTATATTTTAAAAATTTTATTCTTTTCCTCTTCTTTTCCTTCCTTTTTCTCTCAATTTAGAGTAATTAAAAAAATAAAGAAATTTGAAAAAAAATCAAAAGAAGCTAGGCATCCCGTCCTTTTTCCTATTTTAATTTATGTTATATACAAAGGAAATGATTCCTTATTTCCTTTTGTTTCCTTGACTTTTTTTTTTCCCTAACCTTCCCTTAGTCTAAATATAGGCTTAGAGTATGAGGTCTCATTTGGATTTAAACTTTTCCTCCAGTGTGATTGCCCCATCTGGATAACCATCAATGCAGTGGGGCACTGTGCTGGAACTTCAATTTTAGATTGGAGCAAAAAGGTTTAGTGAGTATTTAACCTTTTGCCCATAATACCTTATTTTTCGTTTTTAATTTCTAAATTTTTAATTTTTGTATTTGTATTTAAATGGTTAATAATATTTTGTTTAATAATATTTATAATTATTATAAGTATTATTTATTAAAACAAATATTTAAATTTTTTATTATAAATAATGTTTAATTTAATATCCTTAATAGTATTTTTTTCTCATTACAATGTATCTTTTTCAAATATGTTGAGTACGTTTCTCACTATTTTATGAATGAAACTTGAAATCCATTTAATAAATTCAGATAAAATTAAATATTTATACATATTTTACAATACAACGAAAACATACATTGAATCTAAAAATTAATTCAATTAATTTATATAATTATTTTTTAAAAAATAATATCTAATAAATTTGAAGTCCCAACAACTATAATCTCTTTACCTATTTCCAAGTTAAGACTTCCTATAAAAAAAAAACAAAAATATGACCAAAGTTTTCCACTTTTGCAATGCTATCAAACCGCATTTTTTTAATCTTATAGATTCACCTCTATGATTTTATAATAATTTTCAATTATCAATCGCTTCA